TAAAGACCCTGCATTTAGCTGAAACTTTACACAAAGTTAGCCATTAAGGCCAAGCACGATGGTTATACTAACCGTCAGTCCTAAGATAGTATATATTCTTGTCATGTATACAGTGATTATTCGTGGAGAAACACTGCAATTAATTGCAAACAACGCTAAACATCTCCAACTATATCGATGAGAAAAATAATTTACATTAGTAATGTTCTTTTGTAGGCGGATCTCTAGTGGAAAGTTTTACATGTAGAAGCAGTCAAACAACATACTGTACCTTTTTATACATTTCTAAATTTTAATTAGCTGCAGAGATTATTTGCCAGATCCATATCACTTATTATATTTTATGTCATTGTAACTTTCACAGTTATTCAGAGATTATTGTTAAGATGACCAGTTTTCCATTTTCACCGAACTATCTATTCAGTACTGGTACAAACAGCGGTGCACGGAACAGCCGGACACAGCACAACACCCACAACGTTACTTTATGTAAACGCCTATTTATTAATGCCACTATAAATACAATAAACTGAGTAGTTCGTACGACCCTAAAACGAGTCGTGGAAACTAAAAGTTCACATTTATAATTTACTGTTGACGAACGACACGTTTTCCAAATGGGGGTAAGCTACACTATGTTAGCAAATCCATGCTAACTATTGTAAACACAAATATTATTGCGCAGAAAATATAGCCACGAATCATTCCGGGAAAGAATCGATACACTCTCTTTTTCTTCTTCCATTTCAGTAATATGTTGTAAAACCTTAAGACAATTTTAAGAAACTGTAAAATCGGTACGTTAAAAACAGGTCTTGACAACAGAGCTCAGGTATCCCTGTTTGAAATTACCGGGAGTGAACGCCTACTTCCCTGATTGGACGTTTCAAATTTTGATTTGCGGATCACACATGCGCATAGCTGTTTCTCTGATTGGAGCAGAGGATGTAAACGGAATAGACAGTTGTAGTATTAATTTTATTTAATTGTCACATATAAAACTCAAATACAAATAAGTTACAAGTCTTCATTAGTTTTGCTGCATATTTGAAACAGTCATCAAGAAAATTCTTGAATACATTTCATTGTTTTAAAATATGTATAAAATAAATAAATAAACAGAATTATTGTCACAGCCATCATACAAATATAAATGTTGCTTTCTAATGATTTCATAGGCGCTGCATTAACCTTGGGGCGGACATATTTGACTCCATTCAACAATTGCCTCTTAGAGGAAAGCTCAGATTTAACCATTGGCAGTTTTGAGTTCAACCTGCCCAGACCGTGGACTGCAGTGTCTGCACTCTCAGTCAAAGATGTCACTCTTTGATTGACAGGTTCGTTAACTGAACTGACGGTAGGTAATTTCCGCTGAACCACTATGGAATTTTGTGAAACAGGGATTGATGACAAACTTTAAAATGCTATTTAAAAAGCGCCTACTTGTGTTGTTAGTGTTTGCGAACCAGATGATATTGGGCTTGTGTTCATACGGCAGTTCTTTTCTTTTTATATAATGAAATGACTTTTTCGTGATTTAATCCCAATTTATAACGTGTTTTTCAAAGTAGAGCAAACAAAAAGTGTCTTTAAAAAAGCAAAAAAATATCACCCAAGATTATAGAAAATGGTCAAAACGACATGAAAGGGATGAAACTCCTGTAGATCTACTGACCACTAAAGGTTTAACTCAGCACTGGAGGTTCTTTAATAATAATAATCTCTGGGTTTAACCTGTGTGTGTGAGAGAGAGAGAGAGAGAGAGCCATACTTACAGTGTCTCAAGACTCTGTAGACCATCAAAGCATCTTGCTCCCATACTCTGGATTTTATTGTTATGGAGATGACTGAGGGGGGAAAAAAAAAGACACATATTCATATATACATGTATGAAAATTAAAGTTAAGAACACCTATATTGTACTGTAATGAAAAAGTCATAGTAACACGAAACGTTAATAAGGAATTATTATCAACAAAGAATGCACATATATTCCGAAATACTGGTGTTGAAAAGGTCTAACATTTCCAGCAGTAAAATTCTTCAAACTTATCAATTCAACAAATACAAAAAGGATAGAGTAATAGGTGGGGACCATACAGTAGACTGTCACTGGAAAATGTTAAAAAAAAATCATAGCTCCATTAACCCAAATGTTATCACTAACATGCTCAAAAAATCCCAGTCTGTTGCAGAAAAAACCTTTTGTAAGATACCGTCTGATTGGTCCAACCTGAATTGTAACGTTAACTTTAAGGCATGTTGACGTTTGGGTTCCTGCCTGTAAGAAGGGAGCAGATTTTCTTGAATCTTGGATCTCGAATCTTGAGCAAAGACGGACGTTGTGGGTGCGGTATGTGCCAACAGAGTGTAAACATGGTTCAGAATGTTATGTACAGTGTACTCCGGTGGCAAAGCAATATACATTTCCAGACTCACTGTTTTCTTGTGTTTCTGTACCATGACAATAAAGAAAGTCTAAGTCTAAGAGTTACATGTCATTGTTGACTCCCAGTGTGCTCCAGTTGTGTGCCATCATGTGTGAGGCACTGTGTGGTTTGGCTTTATAAAATCGGTAAGGGCTCAGTAAGCGCAACCGGAAGTAATAATAACATAACATAAAGCGCACCGGGTTATAAGGCGCAGTGTCAATTTTTGAGAAAATTAAAGGCTTTTAAGTGCACCTTATAGAGCGTAAAATATGGTACCTTGGATTTGGCTTCTTCACTCTTCTTTTTTCTGCCAGGTATTCAGTCAACTTCTGCTTCCGCAACTCTAAACAAGGAAAAACACAGGAATTAACTACTGTTTATGAGGTTTTTCTTCTGATCCATTTATTTTAGTACCCACTTCTTCTTTTTATATAACTTTACACCTGTGTTGGACTGCAGTCATTTCTCAAGTGCCTGAATTCTCCACTATAAAGACCCTGCATTTAGCTGAAACTTTACACAAAGTTAGCCATTAAGGCCAAGCACGATGGTTATACTAACCGTCAGTCCTAAGATAGTATATATTCTTGTCATGTATACAGTGATTATTCGTGGAGAAACACTGCAATTAATTGCAAACAACGCTAAACATTTCCAACCTTTTCAATGAGAAAAATAATTTACATTAGTAATGCTCTTTTGTAGGCAGATCTCTAGTGGAAATTTGAACAAGTAGAAGCAGTAAAACAGCATAGGATTTAAAACATACTGCACCTTTTTTTATACATTTCTAAATTTTAGTCAGCTGCAGAGATTATTTGCCAGATCCACATATTTAATATGTATATCTAAATACATTTACTGATATAGATAAATATACATATACACCAAAACTCCACGTTTATGAAGCCCATGTGTTTTAATTCATTGTTTGTCATATCATATTTAATGTTTACATAACTGTCACAGTTATTCAGAGATTACTGTTAAGTTATTGTTGGTTTTCCATTTTCACCCGAACTATCTATTTAGTACTGGTACAAACAGCGGTGCACGGAACAGCCGAACACAGCACAACACAACACCCACAACGTTACTTTTTGTAAACGCCTATTTATTAATACCACTATAAATAAAATAAACTGAGCTGTTCGTACGACTCTAAAACGAGTCGTGGAAACTAAAAGTTCACATTTGTAATTTACTGTTCACGAACGACACGTTTTTCAAATGGGGGTATGCTACACTATGTTAGCAAATCCATGCTAATTATTCTAAATACAAATACTATTGCGCAGAAAACATAGTTATGAACCACTCCGGGAAAGAGGTACAGTCTCTTCATCTTCCATTTCAGACTCTTCCGGTGTGTTTTGTAAAAACAAAAGACAGTTTTAAACACTGTTTGTTCAGTCGTTACGTCAAAAACAGGTCTCGATAACAGAACTCAGGTGTACGTGTTTTAAATTATCGGCAGTGAACGCCTACTCAGGCCGTAAGGTGAACCACGAAAAGTCCTTTAGAAATTGAATTCCTCTCCGACGTTTGGGAACTACACGATCTAGACTTCATAAATAAGAACGAGTTATGTTAAACGTACAACAAAAAGTTCGTCGCAAAATACCCTGCCAGTTTTTTGTATCCATGCATTTTATAATGAACTAGCGTCTTCAACGCGCAATAACATTATGTGTCTCCCATAGTGGCAAATCTCTACATGGAGTAGTGATGTGTCGTTCGCGAGTGATTCGTTCAAAATGAACGAATCTTTCATATAATTCTCGAGTCATATGAAAGGTTCGTGACTCGTGACTACCGAGTCATATGAAATATTTGTTCATATTGAACTCACGAATCATTCACAAATCACTCTCTGCGAACTAATCACTCTCTGCAAACTAATCTTTCACTACGATCTAATTACTCTGCAAACTAATCTTTCACAGTGAACTAATCCATCATTGCAAATGAATCACTCTCTATGAACTAATCTTTCACTGTGAACTGATCTTTCACTGTGAACGGATAATTCTCTGTGAACTAATCTTTCGCTATGAACTAATCATTCGCTGTGAACTAATCGCTATGAACGGATATGTGGACGACACTTGGGTCAAGGTCAAGGTCCATGAGGGCAACAACTTCACAAACCACATCAACGCTGTGGACAGGAACATCAAGTTCACCAGGGAAGATGTGAAAAACAACAGTCTTGCATTCCTGGACTGTGTGGTTCACATCTCAGAGGACAGAGGACAGCTCAACATAGAGGTGTACAAGTAACCAACCCACACAGACCAGTATTTCCGTTTTGAGTCACACCACCCACTGGAGCACAAATTATGAGTTATCAGAACCCCTCACTCACAGGCAGACACCATTCCCACCACTAATAGGTAAGATGAGCGAACAGGGACACATTACGACAGCTCTCGAGACCTGTGGCTATCCCAGATGGGCGTTTTTAAAAGGAGGAGTTTCGGGAAAAACTTAGGAGGATCTTTAACCAACACCAGATCCCTGTACATTTCAAACCTGGTAACACCCTAAGACAAAAACGGGTTCATCCCAAAGACAAGACTCCAAGGAACAAGCTGGAAAATGTGGTTTATGTCATTCAGTGCAGTGAGGAATGTACTGACCTGTACATTGGGGAGACTAAACAACCGCTACACAGGCACATGGCCCAACACAGGAGGGCCCACTCCTCAGGACAGGACTCGGCTGTTCACATACACCTCAAAAACAAAACCCACTCCTTTGAGGACAACAATGTACACATTTTGGCCAGGAAAGACCGATGGTTTGAGAGAGGGGTAAAATACGCCATTTTTGTCAACCTGGAAAAACCATCATTCAACAGAGGAGGTGGACTCGGACACAACCCATCACCCACTTACAAAGCACTTTTAGGAACAATACCCAAAAGTTTCACCTCTGTTTCACACAACAAAGAGGCAGGTGACTGAAACCGTTCTGATGGGGACCACAACGACCCATCAGACTCTTAACGACTGTTTACACTTTCATAGTTGACCCCAAGTTTAAGTTGACCCAACAGGGTGGAGCTGAAGTAGCTCTATTCTTTCTCACTGAGAGTATTTATCTGCTGTCCTCCCCACCACCAGTTAGAACTGAAGAAACCTCTTGGATTAGAGGCGAAACGTCTTCTTTTAGAAAATTCACGTCCAGTTGCCTAACAGAACTTTTTAAACACGGTGCACGAGAGGTGGCACGATTTAACACGTGATCGTGCTACACCAATCGAGTAGCTGATTGATGTCTACACTTCCGGCAACACGGCTTCCTCCGTGGTTCTACTTAACGTTACCGATAGAGATGAATTCTCCCGAAAGTCTTCTAAAGTGGGCCAAATGGATTCTAAACAGTGCTTTATACATAGCCACCTGCACGAAGAACAATGAGGAAAATAGACGATAATTTTGATCAATAAAAGAAAGTAACAAATGACAAGCTCCATTTGTTTTTTCAAGACCGACTCCTTTTATTGATTCGAATCTTTACCTCTCGAACAGTAAAATGAACGAGTCGTGAACGAATCTTGAACTAATCATTTCATTCGTTTTACAGCAGCTGGCGCTTTAGCCCATTGTGGGCATTGTAAAGAAGGGTGCGGTTCTCCGACACTAAATAAGGCAACATGGTTTGCTTCCGCTGACAAAGTCTACAAAGTACACAAAATGCCACAAGTAATTAAAACCATGTGAAAAGCTAAGAAATAAAAACACACCACAATGTGAAGATAAATGAGAGCAAAAAAGACCCGAGCTGTCTGTCACGTGACAAATGAAACGAATCTGCGAGAACGAAGCGAGATTAGTTCACAGAGAATGATCCGTTCACAGCGAAATATTAGTTCACAGAGAATGATTCGTTCACGGCGAAAGATTAGTTCACAGAGAATGATTCGTTCATAGCGAAAGATTAGTTCACAGCAAGAGATTCGTCACGGCGAAAGATTAGTTCACAGCGAAAGATTAGTTCACAGAGAATGATTCGTTCACAGCGAAAGATTAGTTCACAGCGATAGATTAGTTCACAGAGAATGATTCCTTTGCAATGATAGATTAGGTCAAAGCGAAAGGTTAGTTTGCAGAGTAATTAAATTGTAGTAAAAGATTAGTTTGCAGAGATCAGCTTTGTAATTAGTCTTAATCAATGTTTTTGTGCCTTATTGTTTTAGTGTATTTAATTCTACTGTGGTAACAAGTGCATTTCCCTCCCCTGTTATGTAGTGCCAGCAGAGCTTGAGAAATGCAGTGTTTCACATTCAACAGTGGGATGCGCCACTGAGCCTTACACAAATACTTCTTTTTACGTCTTTTTAAAACATCCAGAACTGAAACCAGCAGTATCTGCTGATGTAAAAGACAAATGTCACCTAAAGATTAAAGAGTACACATTTGAGAGTGTTACAGTACTGTTTTAGTGAAATGCCAAGGTACTGACCACTGAAGTGTGTTGTCCATTTTGAACGAATCGCTTGCGAACGACACATCACTAATTCCCAGACGTCGGAGCGAGAGGAAACGATAATCGGGTTCAGCTTATGGCCTAGCTTCGTTTGGGGATCACTGATGCGCATATCTGTTTCTCTGATTGTCGCAGAAGACAAATAAGGAGACTGACAGAAGACCAACAAAAGACAAAGACAGAAAAACATCCGAATTGCATGGTCTTATCTGACTTGATTAACTACAGCACATGCACATACCTCCTATTGGTGGAGAATCCTTGTTTGGAGCAGTCTTTACCAAT